GTGGTTAGCATTGCGTAGTGCCATTCAAATCCCCGTGCGACCAACATCCAAAAGTTATATAAAATTAATTTAAATAAAAAATTAACTTAAAGAATGTCAACCCCTCCAAGTGTATTTCGGATATGAAACAAAGGCTTCTCGTAAAAAAACCATCAGCCGTTAGAAGGCGGCTTAGTATTTGTTGGAAAAATATCAAGACGCAAAACCACAAATTGGAGGAGGAGGAGCTTGGCGGAAAATCGCTTCAGCGGTTACAAAGCGCAAATTATTATAATTATTATTACGTACAATATATATATATATAGATTAAGATTTTAAAAATTATATGTTTGTTTAAAGCAATTTGTGCATAAAATAAGCTGTATTACATCATTTTTAACAAGCATTAAATAAGACTTAATGAAAAGTAGACGAGTATTAATAAATTTGGACGACGGATTTTATATACATAATCGGCATTTTATAATCCTCCAAGCGATTTTCGAACGTACTCCTTCTGCAATTTGTGGTGTGTGGTGTGTATTTTTCCAACACATGGTGAGACAGTTTATTCTGCTTTCGAACAGTATCATCTCAAGAACACACTTATAGCGGTTTACAACCGAAGTGCATACACAATAGGAAATTCTTTTCTGTAATGTTGACGATTGCGACACAGATTTTCCCACAATTTTTGCTAACCAATTTTACATATTTCCTTCATTCGGAGTGATCTAGATTTGTAAAACCGAAAAACGTTTTATCATTTGAATGATTTTTGATTGCTTTACCTTCGAACGCGATTCGAAATACTTCACACTGACGTTGATTTGACAGGACTGACTGTTGTGTCCATATACATATACATACATATATGTACAGATTATCACTTTTACGTAAATAAAATGCATTTAAAATAATTTTTTTGTTTTACGAAATTATTTTTTATTATGAAGTTTGTGCCTGGGCATTATATGTAAAATACTTAATAATAATTCAAATGACCAGCTCATCGATTTTTGTAAACTTCAAACCGTTTGGGCTAATTTTTAACCACTTTTTGGCACATATTATTGGTTGGCATATTTGCCTTAATTTGATAAATGTTGGTTTTAAGTGTTCAAAGGTTTAACGTTCGTCACCCACAAAAGAAAAGATCAGTGACAGTCTCGCCGTTGTCATTTCAAAGGAAGTAAGGTCTAATAACACCGCCGGAACAGCAGCACCAGACTGTCTGGTTTTTTGAGGTGTACTTTGTACTCTTCAAATTTTTTTTTTTTGGAGTCCCAAATGCGAATAAGTAACATGACTTGTCTGTGAGGAAAATATTGTTCGAAAAATCGTCTAATCGACGTTTTTACGGCGTTGTGAATGGTCAGCTGGCTTCTGTGGTGTGAACTAGACTTTATATGGCTGTAAATAGGTGTAAGTCCAAGGCAGAAATATACGCCATCTAGAAATATACACACTTGGGTTTTCGGCTACACTTTGACTTACAGTGGCGATATTTGCGGCGGAAGGAGCAAAACTTTTATGCACAGACCTCACTATATCTGTGCACGATATATTTGAGTAGTTGTACGATTATATGCATCATCATAATCTGCTCTTACAGCACGAAATTTGGCAAACCGTTGAAGTCACCATTTAATGCCATGACATCTTTGTAAAACATTTCCGTCATAAATGTAGATTTCGTATTCAAAAATGGTATTGCAGGATTAATGAATTAAATATTTTATATTTCAATTCAATCATTATAGTCATTAAACTGGTAATTGGTTGACGGGCCATACGTGTATGTATGTACAATACATGCACTCATTCAAGGTGCTCCACAACTCCACGATATTAAAAACCTTTTCATATATTTTCTGTAAATATTTTTTTTTTTTTATTTTACTTTACTTTTCGTTTATAAGTACTTCAAAATACATGTTTCCTCAACGGCCAACGGTGACTGACTGTGTTCATATTATATGACTTATGTATGTAGTCAACTCACGAAATATTGTATTTGCATATCGCACGGGTGTATGAGATATGTATGCGGACATGCGCTCATATCAAACATAAAATATGACAGTAAAGAAAAAAGAAAATAAAAGTTTTGGGTTTGGTATGACTATTATTAATTGCATTCAGTTTATATGTATATAAATAATTGATATGCAATTTATTTTATTTTAATTAATTTAATAAATTATTTTTTGTTTATTTTTTATTAAAATTAATATATTTTATTTAGTTTGTCGTGACCGTTTCACAACAAAATGATTGTTGAAATACCACCTGTTTATATATATTTATGTACATAACTTTATTTTTATGCAATTATTTTTTATTTATTTTATTTATTTGGGTTTTTTGTTATTTATATTTTTTATATAGTAAAGTAACCGTAAAAATGAGGTTGTTTTATTATTTATGAGAATTTCATTTGGTTTACAAATCGTGATTTGCTTAATCGTGTTATATGCAAATGCAACCGTTATTCAACCGTCAATATTTAGTCTTACTAGAACAAGCAAAGCATTTTAATTTTACCTTAAGGTGCGAAAATGTCTGTCAATCAATGAATATTAGGCCTTTAAGAATGTTTTTAAATGCTCTTGAAAATATTTAAGTCTCAACGCCTGAAATTCAACAACTAATTTGTTAATCTGTATTTAATGATATCGGTTTATTAATTAAGTCTTACTTACATATGTTTGTACAAATATGTATTTTTATAAGAAAAAAAAATAGTTACAGGCATTCTTCTTGATAAAAAATGTCATCAGATAAATAAATCTACTCACACTATAGACAAAATTAAATACGTTGAAGCGTAAGGCATTACGGCGACATTTTACTGCAAATTTTTGTAGAAAAAGTACAGTACAGAATGACATAAAAAACATGAAAGTAAATGACTTTTTCGACTTATGGTAATTCCAGTTTGAAAGTATTGGGCTTCTGCAGGAGTCTATAACCTTTCCAAACGATTGTTGTGCTTTCGGGTTGCTTTGACGTGGTTGATTTTGGTTGATGCAACGGATCCATGTTTTATCTACGCGTTAACTCCGGTTTGTTATGTTTAGACAAAGTCAACCGCCGCTCAGAATATTGCTTGAACGCAGCAATCACTTTGTGCAGAGTTTTCTCATAGCCAAATGCTCGCTTAATGTAATATAAAGCCAGCATGTTCTTCGGATATCTCTACGAGACCTGCATACTCATGTAATATCATTTTTCGAACATTTAAAACGACTTTTTTGAATTTTTTTTGGACGTCAACTACGTTCTATGTCATTGGTGTACAGGGAGCGGCTGATAAGTTCGCAATCTATGGTAGTTAGAATAGACATTGCGGCACACATTATTATTATAAATAACACAACTTAGCTTCATTAACATTTCGTTACTGGAACAAGCAACAACAAGATGTCAATCGAAACCGAAGTTATCGTAATTTTAAGCTTCGGGCTGTGATTAATTTCCTTGTAAAAAAAGATAGTACACCGAAATAAATTTATAAAGAGATGTCATTGGTTGTTGTTGTTATTGTTTTTATTTTTATTTTTGTTGTTGTTGTAACCGAAAAAATGTTCCCCAAAAGACATTTTGGCAAATGTTGCGGGAGTGACAGTCTTTGGCGGGATAGAAATCCGTGTCGTTCCGGTATAAAGACCCGACTGTCGCGGGAAGTATTGGGTTGTAGTCGACCCTTACGACAGGCATGCCTTACCGCGGATAAATTCTTGAATCCCTAACCCGCAGTAGGGAGATGTCGCTGGTCTTTCAGGACTTTGCCGTTCATATACGATTAAAAGAAGAGAGACTTGTGAAAATAATCAACGTCTGGGGCGCCCAGTGACGATCGTGACCGAAAAAAATGCTCAGAAGATCGAATAATTAATGGTGGCTGATCGAAGAATTCAGTTGTGGCCGATAGTAGAAGAATTATAGATTAGCCAAGAATGAGTTGTGGAGGTTTTGCATTAACATTTGAATATGAAAAAATTAGTGTGCGGTGAGAACCGCGAATGCTCACGCCACTCGACAAGCAGCGACGATTGGAGAAAAGTAATGATTTTTTGGAGTTCTACCGAGATTATTTGGAGGTAATTGTCAACCGAATTCTAACAGTGATGAAACAGCAAGAGCTACAAATGGGTAAGGCCACCCAAAAAAAATTCGAAATGAAAAATTCGAAGCGATTTTCCGCCGAGCTCCTCCTTCAATTTGTGGTTTTGCGTCTTGATATTTTTCCAAGAAATGGAGGGACCTGCAGTTTATACTAAGCCGCCTCCGAACGGCGGATGTCATTTTTACGAGAAGCCTTTAATTCATGTTCGAAATACACTCAGAGGGGAGGACATTCCCTGCCGAGGGGCGACCGCAATTAGAAAATTTAACTTAATTTATTATTTAAATAAGTTTTCTATAACTTTTGGATGTTGGTCGCACGGGGATTTGAAATCGAGCCTTCCGAATGTTAGTACGCAATGCTAACCACTCGGCTACCACGACCGCGTGAAAGATTATGTCACCTATTTTCTGGGATAGAGAGGGAATATTTTTAATTGATTACTTACCAAAGGGAACTACAATGAACGACCAGTATTATGCTAATTTGTTCGGTCAAGCGCAAGAGGCAGTCGTAAAAAAGGGACGTGGCAAGAAAACGCACCCGTTTACACCACTCGGACTGTAGGGATGCCTTAGAAGTTACTGGATTTACAGAACCACCCGTTCTACAGTCTAGACCTGGCTCCCGGTGATTTTACCTTTTTTCGAATTAAAAAAACAAACGGAGACAAAGATTTTGAAGAGAAAGCCAAGTAAGTACATGAGGCCGCGAACTTATCAGCCGCCTCTCGTACCAATGATCACATTTGAAGTCAGAAAACCAACGTTACAGTTTTTGTTGTGCTTGAACGATTTTAGTACTTACAACAGTTTTCGACGATTATTTCTTTAACATCCATAAATACATATATAAAAAAATAGTAATTTCAATTTTCTTTTATTTTTAGGGAAGAACTTTTGCCTCGATTATCAAGAACTTTTTGCAAATTTGCAATCCTTTAAATGAGTCCTACTTGCCACTGTACAATAAGGATGAAGGCAGTAAGTAATAATAGCAATTAATTAATAGTTAAGATTTGATTACCTCCGTGCGTATGAACCAAAGAAAAAATCAATTTATTGAAGAAAACTTTTGTTGACCTGCGGCGTGGCATCGCCAACATCGTGGAACTATTCTTTGTGGGATTATGTGTACGAAATAATTTTTAAAACATAATGCAAACCTTTATTTTAAGGACAAAGCTTCTTGGCCAAAACTTTAAATTATTTGGTTCAATTTCTTCTTGAAAGCCACATTTCAAAAAAAACATCCTTTTTTACTATAATTTAATGCATTTCACTGAAATCATTGATTTATGTTATAAAGAATTTTTTACCAAAAAAAAGAATAATAATAAATAAATAAAAAATAAATTAAAAAACAGGAAAATTCCAAATGAAATTACAAAAAATCCAGTTTCAAATTGTATTTATAACACAATACTCCTTATAAAAATTACATACATATTGAATTAAAAATTATTTGCAATTTAAATTTGCAGGAAAAGTATATAATGAAACCTTGGAAAGTGTAAAGAAGTCCTTTCCGCAATACATTAGAGAACTGGAAGGCATTGCTGATGGTGCGCAAGTGGAATTTCATAAGGTAAATAATATACATATATATATATATATATTACTAAAATTTTATTCTGCAGAAATCATAAATAGCTTTTTATACAATGATACATAAAATGATGCAAAAAATTAAGGTTCTATTTCGACAAAAAAATTTTCTGAAACTAAAAGTTTGTCGGAGCGTATGAGTGATAAAATTATTACTATCGATCATAGTGCGTTGTGGCGATTTTAGTCCGAGCTCCTCCTACGAATTGAGGGACCGACAGTTTATTCTAAGCCGCCACCAAATATTTCATCACAGAAAGACACTCTGCTTCGTCCTTAATGACTGACGGATCTACTCACAGCTTAACCATTCATCATAGAGATCTGAGATGTAGAGAGTGTCTACTGCGTGTGACGTAGGCATCCGTTTAGAAACAAATCTCTGTAATTTAGATCTACGACTGATCTGTTCGAAAAAATCGAAATTAATTTTTAATCTTTCGATTCTCATTAAATTTAATGCATAAGTAGATCTTTATATAAATTGAAATGGTGAAGACTTGCTCAACTGGGAAGTGGATTGGGACCGATCTATTTGAAAAATTGTTGGATTTACAAAAAAAAAAATATCCACAGAAGTATCTTTGGGCCTACCTTATTAAGGTGAATACTAAATCTAAATAAAATCTCATTAAAACCATCTTAAATTTCCGTTCGGACGAACTTTGGTATACCATAATTTTAGATGTTGGACTGGGACTCGAATTTTGACCCTGCGGACGCAATGCTAATCATTCAGCTGCTGCAGCAAAATATCTATGAATTTTTAATTGTAAAAATAATAAGCACTGAAATAAAAAATTATTTTCCCTAAATAAAATTATAGAAAATAAATAAATGATTGATCCAAATTAAAAGAGTCATTTCCACCAGCAAAATCTAAAGTGAACTGAATTGAATTTTCTAAATATTTGATATTAACAGTTATAAATACTTAATTTCTCTTTAGCTCCGGTAAAAAGTACACTACGCACTTGTCATTCATCAAATACAAACAAATAAAATACCGTTTAAAAACAAAGAAACATCATCAATTACACGACATTCTACATGTACAATCTGCTCGCTTGTCAACTGGCTTAGCGAAAAACATTAATTACAAGCAATTAATAAAAGCCTAATTTATATGCCAAGCTGGTCTTCAATGAATTATGTCTCATTAGGGTAGTTCAAGAGTTATTGATTATTTTATGTATTGCATTTTTCATGAACATATTATGTACATACATAACTGCGTAATAGTAAAGGTCGGTGAGAAAATACAGTAAATAATCATATTATTATTGGGAAGTGTGTTTAATTTACTGTATTTGTTTTCAGTATCACATACAAATGTTTTCATAATTATGTAAAATGCGCGAGGCAGCATAAGTTAATTAGTAATGATCTTTAACTCATTAATTTGTGCCCACATACCATGTGCTGAATTAATATGAGGGCAAATGAAAGTTAATTCATATCATATATCAATCATGATGCAATTAATTAATGCGTTTACTTCATTAGAATGTTATTGAAAAATATTGAAATGTTGCCGAAAGAGAAAATAAAAATCTTTTATCTTTTATTTTCTATTGATTTTAATTATTTTACATGGTCAAATTTTGCTAAATACGCTAAAGGGAATATTTTTGCATATGGTTGATTTATTTTAGTGACGTCATAGTAAACATATCAGGTGTACAACTTTGCTTCCGCCGTTTTCCGATAGGTAGCTATACCGGCTTTGGCTGGTTGAAATACATAGATGATAATGCCTTTAAAGTGAGTGTGGACAGTGCCTAACGAATTGTCGTCGCCGTTTCAGTGACAGTTGTTCTTGTTTTCGTATTATTCACGCTCGAAATTGTCCGTTTTTGTGCCTAATTCTCGCCATTTGCGGGAAGTTTTACTTTTCTGTTCATCGAATGCTCTCAGAAACTTACGGTGATGCTGCTCTGAGTGAAAGAACGTGTCGGGGTGGTTTCAACGTTTTAAAAATGGTGAATTCGATGTCGAAGATAAACATGATGGTGGAAGAGAAAAAACCTTCAAAGATGAACAACTAGAAGCATTGCTTGATGAAGATTCGTGCCAAACCCAAGAACAGCTTGCCGAATCGTTGGGAGTGAGTCAGCAAGCCATTTTAAAACGTCTCAAGGCCCTGGGCATGATTCAATATCAAGAGCGACATGACAAATTCATCCTCCAACACAACAATGCTCGGCCTCACGTCGCAAAAGTGGTCAAAAAGTACCTGGAAACGCTGAAATGGGAAGTCTTGCCCTACCCGCCGTATTACCCAGATGCCGCCCCTTCTGACTTCCACCTAATCCGTTCGATGGCACACGGCCTGGCAGATCCACATTTTCAATCCATCGAAGAATTGGCAAAATGGATTGCTTCATGGTTAGCATCAAAAGAGGACTCCTTTTTTCGAGCCGGGAGCCAAAAATTGCCGGAAAGATGGGAGAAAGTTGTCGCTAGCGAAGGACAATACTTTGAATAAAATATCTGTAAGCACTTTTTCGCAATAAAGCTTTTAATTTTGGAAAAAACGTCGGAAGCAAAGTTGTACACCTAATAATATACCAAATGTGCGTAGTTTGTTAGAGATCATGTAATACTGAATATCTAAAAATATTGTGAATTTTTATAAATTCATGAACGTAATTTATTTTTAATGAATTTTACTGCGACAAATCTTTTGCGCTGAATTCTCAATTTCAATTTTTTTTTTTTTTGAATTGAAAAAGTCACCATTTTATCCAACCAAAATTAATTCAGACCAATCAAGTTTAACTGCTACAATTTCTCGACACAGTGTCATAGGTTAAGAAACGCCTTAAAATACAATAATTATTTCCCCAGAGTGTTAAGTCTCTCACCTATAGTAATTTATTTGATTTTATTTTTTTTTTTGTGTAAGAATTTCAGTTTTTTTCCTTTTAAGTCATTGCTTTTAAGTCATTGATTTCATAATTTGTACAAATTATTTTGCAAAATCATAAGCTCATTATTTGTACGTTCTTAAACACTCGCACATGCATGCATATGTATGTACACAGTAGCAAAAGCATGCATATCCACCAAACCATTGCATGAAATGGCAATGCAATTCCATAAGTCAAGGGGAAAATGTAACATTGTTTTGTCGTAATGAGTTCAGTGTGAATTGGTTAGCATTATAACGGTTTTTCTATACAACCAAATCTAATTAAAAATCAATGGTAAAAGGAAAATGTAAGTGCACACGCAACACCAGAGCTGGCTTAACACTTAGTTACGTATGAACATTGTATGTACAATACATATGTATGTATATACATATATGCAGAAAAATACATAAAGTCGTAAGCATATAATTGTATAACTGTAAAATACCAACAGCAGTCTGAATTACTAGTGCTAGCAATACTTAACTACCTGTAAGGACAAGGATTTATTTGGTTATGTAGTTCATATGTTGCGTCAGGGCGTATGAGTAACATTATTGATTCTTATAATAAAAAGTGGTATATTTTTTCTTTAAGTTTATTAGCATATTTTTCGACATTTACGTATTTTTATAAATTAACAGAAATACAATAAACAAATTATAAAAGAATCTTGGGGTAAATTCAGCAAAATTAACCATAAAATTTCATTAAATAATATTTTAGGTTGCAAAATTTCACAAATAAGCTATATGTAAATATATAATTGTTAGTTTATAACCGCTGAAGCCAAGCTGCTTCTCCTATTTATGGCGCGTGGCTTAATTATTTCTAAGCCAGCTCCAAACTGCTGGCGGATATTTATTCGAAGACCGAGGGGCGATTGGAAAAATTATTTATTTTATTAAGTTTTCGTAATCTTGGATTTTGTTCTGTGTAGGATGCGAACCCATAATCCTCCGCTTGGTAGCACCCACAATAAATATGTTTCTCAACTATAACATAGAATTTAAATTTTTTTATAATAAAGCCAAGACCGTGGACGTTTCAACAGGACTCGGCGCCCTCAAATGAAGCTAGGGTGAACCAATAATGGTTGAAAAACAACGTTTAGAACTTCATAACGTTCACGCAATGGCTCTCGAACTCACCAGATGCTAATCCGATGGATCCGTTGTCTGTGGCCCGTACGTGCCTCGAGGCACGGTAGAAAATCATTGTCCGCGAATGGATCACAATACCTACAAGTCGGGCAGCTTGCGATTCGGTTTTGGACCGTCACAAGTTGGCCATATCGAGCAAATTTAAAGTATATATGGATTTTGTATTATTTTCACACATTGTGTACTTTGAATTGATTATGTTAAATTAATTTTTCAAACTGAGTACCGGTAGTATTTTACAGACATCTCCCTTAAGATTATATTTTAATATCAACTAATTCATTGAATTATTTTTTTTCCTCATATTGCAATGATTCAATGTATAAACAATATATATTACTTTATAAATTATTTGAAATTAAATATATATTTAACCAGTTAAAAAAAAAATAATTCATTTCACTGCAGTTTATTTTATTTTAACTAATCTAACTAACTTTTTAACTACTTTATTTTATTTTATTTTATTTTATTTTATTTTATTTTATTTTATTTTATTTTATTTTATTTTATTTTAATTTATTTTATTTGAGTTTAATTGAATTAATATTGATTTTTTTTTATTTCATTTTATTTTTTTTTTATTTTGCGCGTTAGTTTATATATTTTTTTATCTATTTTATTGACTTTACTGAAATTTATTTCATTTAGTTTCACTTTTTCTTGCTTATTTCATATTTTTATATATTGTTCAGTTTATTTAAATTTATTTTATTTTATTTTTCATTTTATCTTAACATTTATTTTTATTTTTATTTTATATTGCTTTTATTTTTTTATGTATTATGTATATATCATTTTGTCTCTCTTTTATTTCATCATATTTAATTTTATTTANATATATATATATATATATATATATATATATATATACATTTGATATAAATTTGTGTTTCTATTTT